GAATGACAGAGAGTGACTTGAAATCGAAGGCCCTGTGAACATTTCCTAGTACACCTCTGAACACTCGCAGTGCAAATGTTCAAAGAAAAAATCTAACATGATTCCTACGGAGTAAACATAAAGGGATAGTAATGAGATAAGGGAAGAAAAATCGGCATGATGAATGTGACACATATGGTCGGGAGCGAGGGAACAATGGATTCATTAGAAAGCTGCCAGATCACTGGGCAAGGTACGTTACCAGCAAATCCAGCGAGCACTGAAATGAAATTCCGGTGAAAATCAGGCTCCAAAAAGAGTGCCTTAGCGCTTCGCGAGTCACTAATTCAGGCGCCAAGACTTTATGTCCGTACACGGGCGCTGAACTTGAGGCTGCGAAATCACATGCGTTAGGTGACTCCCCCTTAGAATTTCAGCTCCCTAGCTTCTCTGGTTCCAGAGTTGAAAACCCCAGTCAAAACGCACTCAGAACACACACACAGGGTCTCGACAATACATGTTTTGTGCAACTGTTGCAGCATCAAAAAAAAAAAATGTACGGTTACTGCTTCCTTCTTTTGCATTCCTCTGTATATTTTACTGAAACACTCAAATGACACAAACTTGTGCGGTTTGTCACGCAGTCCACCACTTTCGACATCCTGGCAAGCAATTAGGATATACTCCTGCAATGCTTTTGCATCAAACGATGGATGGATGGTTGTGCTCTTCACAACTTCTAACATTGGAAATACTGCGGCTTGCCAAAAACTGTAGCAGCCATCAACCAGTTTGTTCGTACGGCCCTAAAAATCACAACTTCATCCATATTTGGATCAGCTGTAATCCATGGCCTTCAGCTGGCAGCTTTTTCCGTTGCTCAAGCCTGTTGGCAAACTTGACGTTTGTTTCGTCTCCTAAAAAAATTACCGTCTCAGCATTTCACCCGACACTGGCAAGGCTTTAGCCTTTCGACATTTCATTTTAATGTGTGTTGAGTATCCTTGTTCCGAATCTTGTTAATTCCAGGACACAATTAGTCACATGTAGTGTCATGCTATTTTCGGGCAAAAAAACCAATGAAAATAATCACACTTTAATCTTACCGGTAACACTAGTGCTTAAAAGTGGAGAAGGATAAAAAATAAGCCTTGTCTGTTACCCAAAAACTGATTTACTGCCTACTGAAAATCTTAAAAAAACTCACTTGAAAGCCACCTTCATATTTCATCTGTTTTTGCGCAAGCCATTT